AAAGGAAATGTATGCAATAAATGACGTATTTACCCCATAGCAGACGAATATGAAAATCTTTGACCACAGTGACAGAGAATGGCACACTACAGATCATCAGCTTTACTCTCGCAACGAAGACGGACAAGCTCCAGGTCACTACATGTGGGTGAATGGCAGATCTGTTTTATCAAATGCAGTCAGTGAGAACCAAAAAAGTAAGTCTATCAATAAATATACCTATAATCAAAACAACAGAAATAATGGAACCTACGCTACAATCAAAATAGTCGACACCTTGGAATAGCATCACAATCTTTGACCCTTTGTGTCTAAGGGGTGACTTTCATCTAATTTCTCACTACGAAATCACACCTGAATCACACACCACGGTCACAAGAAAAAGAAACATTACTCTTGTCCAAAAAGACAAGTAAGTAGAAAGGAAAGTTTCTTGCCCTGTATGCACCAGTTAATATAATATTAGAATGGTTTACTAAACAAGTGTCTTGTTTATCACTATGCTTTTCAACAGCTCATTTTAAGATCCACACTGTCGTGGAGCTTGACGAAAACAAGAAGTCTCATCAAGTTGTCATTTTAGAGCATAAAGGTGGTAGTGTTGTGGCCATAAACCAGGAAGATGACACTGTCATTGCTAAGGTATGATGGCAGAAAATTTCCTGTTAATAGTTGCACGTCAGGGCTAAATAAAAAATGAAAAAAACCAAGTGTGTCCTTGTCTTGGACATTTTTTTATGGACTTATTGAATGAGCAAGGATCTTACTCACTCACCCAGAAACTCAACGCAGAAAACTGACCAGACATTTCTATATGTCCCATTCTGAATTTGTTGTGCCATCATCAACCATAACACGATGGATAATCAAGGATAATCTTCAGACATAGACTGTACGTTGAGTGGAGACTCTACTTAAAAACCAGGGGGTATTAACCCTTTACATCCTAACATCAGTATGCATATTCTTTATACTGTTCTCTATACATTTCCAAAGGTACTTACAAGGAGGATTTGTTTAATGATCACGAGCATCTTGACATTGTTATTATTCCTTTATTCTTACGACCTCACTCTTAGGAGTTGAGAATTAACAGGGGGTCCTGACTTTGGAATGCTCATATTATATGCTAATATTATACTTCAGTCACACGCAGGTGTTTAGATGTAGGAATTTTTAAGGAAGAGGGCAGGGGAGGGAGTGGGGAGAGTGCAAACAACTGTGCTCTATTTGAATTTAGGATTAATGTGCCATATTATTATATTGAATATTACAAATTATTTATTTTTTAATATTACAGATAGAGTAATAACTGAAAAGGAATGTTCTAGGTGATGACATGCACATTGACAACTCAGTCGGAGTCTGATGATGACCTTCTGTGCAAAAGCTAACCCCCTTAACTCTCAAGATCTGATTGTGAACTCTCCTGTCCAGCTGCTACACATTTTCTTGTAAATCAGTCATGAGAATTTGGTGTGCGATTAAGATAACAACTTCTACCTAATAAGTTTGAGTCTTCTAGTTACCTTATCAACATGATAGGAAGAAGTTGCATACTAATAACTTCTGGGAGTTAAAGGGTTAACAATGACCTCCAATGAGGCGGTCAACATCAGCCATTGTCACCAACAGCAGTCATTTCCGAACGTGCTCTGACTCAGAGTCTGACTGCTCTTGTCCACAGGAACTTCCTAAACCTCTAAGCCAAAGCAACTCCCTTGATGAAGTTAAAAAAGACAATCCTGAGGTGTTATTTTACAAGGTGGCTAGGGAAGAAGACAGTGAGCTGTTTTACTTCAAGTCCTACCTTAAAGATAAGCAACGCGTCCTCGGCTTTGATCAGAAGGGAAATCCAATGAACACCTCCCAAGTACAACCGGATCAGCTGGAAAGCTGGTTTTCTGTGTTTTAAAGTCTCTTGCAACTGCAAAACTAAAGTTGCAGTTTACAGTGGAAGTAAGAGATATTTTCCAAAAACAGTAAATTCTTGTAAGGAAATTGTTTCACTTAGGTTAAGCTAATGATGTCACGCAATGTAAGTTTGACTACAAAATTCATGAAGTTTAGCATGATAAGACATTTGTTTACTGTCTGTTTTAAGATGAAATTGCAATCAAAATGTAATTTTATACATGTTGGAAAAATATTTTCATAAAATAGGGATTAAATCCACAGAAAGTTTTACAAAATTTATTTCATAATGAACATCACTTTGATGCCCAAGTAACCTCAAAACGATTAATTAGAGATGAATTTTTTAAGAAAAGTGACAGTCTTTTAGCTAATAGTGAATTAAGATTCAGTGAATTTGGTATGTCGTATCCTCTTAAAAGTTTCATAATATTTCACTGGCATTTGTAGGAGATATTTCATTTTTCTACTGATTTTCCTTTGTTAAAGGTATCGGGACTATTTTAAAAATAGAAAAAACCTCCTTTCAGTTTCTTTAAGATCTGCATGCAGCAAAATGGTTGTGAACATGTTGCTATCAATTTTAAATAAATATTTCATTGGAAATCAATTTGTAATTTGCTTTATATTGACATCAATCGAATTAAACATTCTGTGGCAGACAGACAAAAAGGCGAAGTACTTAATGAGATCTTAGGAGTGAAAGGGTTAATTACGCACTGTTAATTGTTTAAAATTTAAGTAAGGTAAACATTTGCTTATGTACGATTATGCGACATTTGTAAAGATACAACTGTTTTATTAGTATTTCATTTGTTCAGTTTGCATTTTGTTCACGTTATGTGTATCTCCAGTTTACGGTCATTTCGTTCCGTGGTCAGATCGTTCCACAAAATAGTAAGTTCGTTCCACATATATAATATATATTTTCTAAACGTGTAAATGTGATCTGAGTACAGAGTAGCGATCGGAACATAGACGAAAGTATTTTCACAACTATTTACAAAACAGTGAGAGCGCCGTATGTTAATTTCAGTGTGCATTGCAGAACGATGTGAGAACTATTCACATATTAGCGAGAGCTTATGTTAGTTTTCTGTAAGTCAAAGATGATGTTAGAATTCAATTAAAAGCCTGATGCGAAATTTTAGCAAAGGATATTGCGTTTGTCAGTATATCATTCAAAAAGTTAAAGAAATGAAACGACGTCTAGTAATTAAAGCCGCACCGTGATTGCCGAAGTTAATACTATTATGTTATTGACATTTGATCACAGCACAGAACAGAGGATATTCAACAAAGTACCAAGTTGTCTGCGTATTTGTTAGCGCACTCGATGTAAAGTGGTTTTAGATTAAACATTATTGTTCGCGAGAGAAACATTTTCTGATTTACGCCCGTTTCCGGCGCTACTTGTCGAGTTCAAGCACTACGTTCGAGTCCGCTCCTAACATGCCGTTTCTGGTAAGGGCATACGTAGTTTTCGAGTGAAAAAATAGCTTCCACCCTTTTTCTTTCCATCCTTCCTCCAAAGAATAAAACGCGTTCTTGGCACTACTGCAAAACCAATAAACGTCTAAACGCCAGCTATGACTAGAAGGAAACGTCTTACGCTTAATTAGACTTCTCAATCTGCGGCAAATTTTGATTCTTTTAAAAAAATGGTCCTTCGAAGGTGGAGTCTAGAAACATGTCAAGGGAAATATTAGCCTTCATTCGCCCAAATATGACTGCCTAACCACGTGATTAAGATAACAGCTTTTTATTTTTAAGCATGATCATTATCGAACAAAGAATGAAAGTCACATCAAGTTCGTAAGCAATTATTGGAAACTTACTGAAAATAAACAAGGTTCATAAAGGTGACGCATTAAATGTACAGTTGTTGAAATCGAAATATTTCTGTATTCAAACTATACCTAAGTAACAGATGGTCGGCATATGAAATCCCATTTCAACTTGTTTCGAAAATTAAATGCACCGTTCGAATTGTGTAGATATTTCAATGACTTTCACAAGTTTGTAATTTAAAAATTTATCAGCTGTACGTCATAAGATCATCGTCACATATTTTTTACAAATTCTGAGTGGAATAACTTTCGATCCGCCGTCAAACTAAAAGAAAAACTTTAACAACAATTTTCCTCGTGCAATTTCTTAAAATACTTGGTATTTAAAGTTTAGAAGCTGAGCTATGCTTGGCCACAAGAATTTTAGCTAGCCCCTCCTAAAATAATCGTCTTCAAAGATGTGGGTACAATCAAGAAAAAAAAGGAAGAAACCAAAAGTTGTCTTTTATATAGACATGAGCTTTGGCACTTAGTTTAGAAACACGAACCGTACATTAACAAAAACATCGAAACCGAAAATTCAGAAACCTAAACAATACTGTTACATTTACTATATTTCAAAACTCAGCCGACTATTTTGGGTAGCAGTAAAACAGGGAAAATTACAAGAAGTGAAAGAGGTGGAATTATTGCAGAACAGGCTTCCCTGTCAAGTTGAAACAGTACACGCCTTGCAAAACCGTACAAAACAAAAATCTTTGACTTGCGAACCAAGATTTACATGCCCCAGAGAAACTTACGTGTCACGCAACTCGAGGGAAATGTCACTAATTGTCACGCTTCAAAAGAAATAAATTGAGGAGCGATAAACCCAAAAAATACTGTGTAAATCGGACTTAAAGTGCTCTACAAAAAAAAGCTGTCTTCACTGATTCAAACTTCACCTGGCGTCGGAAAATTTGCCTGGCTTTCGAGCCGGAATCGGAAGTTAGGGACGAAAGTGAAAAGTCCCACTCCCAACCAATGACGTATGTCCGGATTAAGCTGGTTAAATGTGAGCGAGTTAGCGAGCCGGAGATCATTCTTCGCTACAGCTCCTGCACTTAGCTTCGCAACTGTAAAACATCTACGGATTTATAAAAGAACTCAGTGTTCTCATGGAGACCAAAGAGGGTGTGGAAAATTTAAATGTAAGTTTAAATATTCAGTTTAGATTTCAAATATTCTACGAAACCTTCGCTTCACCTTCGAAAGCGCATCGTTGTGTACTTATTCACGAGCATAATTGAATGGCATTGCAATCAGACTTGCCAAATACTTTGGCTCAGCGCTTATGAGCAAATCGAGTATGTCTTTAACCCATTTCTAACACAAGCAACTGAATCACTTAATTTAGGTGAAAATCTACGTTTTTCGTTAATTATTGGCTTTTCATTTATACTTCTAATAGAGTGGAAATTGAAAGGCTCGTTTTGAACAATTACGCTCTTGCACAAATTAAAATGGGATTTCAAATCCGAAAACAGTCTTTAAAAGTTGTCGTAGATCGGCACCACTGTACCTCATGGCATGATCTGATGGACAAAATTTGCTCA